ATTAACTCCTTATTTGAATTTGAGTTGATTACTTATGTTGAGCTCCTCATTACATTTGAAGATGAGTCAATCCCTAAGCTTTATTATTGTATGTTTGTTTTATGATACGAAAAGGAGGGATTGACGGGTCATGAGATTGTTGGAAATCCCCACTGTTCATGTATTGAGCAAAAGGTTTTAATATCAAGATATTAAAGTTTCATCGTTATGAGCTCCCTGTCACCTCTGGAGACTCCATCATCAGTTTTCCTAGTTTATTTACTTTATTAATTTATTATATTTAATTTACATTTGAGCCCTGTAACCCCTACAATAATTGGATAAAAAATAACGATGATGATGGACTATGCAAATTTTTACCTCATTAGCTGTGAGAAGAGCATCATCATCACAATTTAAAATAATAGATGTTTTGGATTCACTGTCATCACCATCATCATCATCATCACTAGCATTGTCATCACGATATAAAACTCCTGCAGCAGACTCAATCACAAACTGAGCTCGCTTTGCCCTTTTCACTGGAGTAAGGCACTCAGGATCACCTGCATTTTTGAGATAATTGTAAATGCATATGTAAGATTTCTTTGAATCAATTAAAACAATTATAAACTAACCTGTGGGCTTTGGAATGCTTCAAAATCTCAACAATTCCATCTCACGCGGCTGGTAGTCTTAGCCTATTGAGGTATTGTAGTCCACTGCAAGCTCTTCCCACATCCCCCCTCCAAGAGGCAATCAGGCTTCAATTAGATCCAAAAGCACTGAGCGAAATAAGTCAATGCTGATTGAAGGGCACTTACCATCCAGCTCATGGCGCAAAAAGCTATTAGCCCCTCCCCTGCCTGCAGGCGTAGTAAGTGCTTTTTCTCTGATACTTTGCAGCTATCTTCCTCATAGACAGGAGAGGGGCCATGCACGATGAACCATTCCCAGATATGTTAGTGCTAACCAAGGTAATGTTGTTCAATATCGGTGATGACAATCTGGCCTCTTTGTCATCTGGAAAGGAATGAAATGGTGGACCGACGAGATCCAAAGTGGTGGCTGTATTGTCGTCTGTTGGGGTTGATACTACTGGCTCCGGTGGTGGGGAGGAGCTGGAAAGATTGAGGTATCTTAAAGAATCAATTTCAAGGGGTCTGTTACAGGAATCAGGAGACCAAATCTAAGTTGAGTTAACTTACTCTTTCAGAGGACGACCTTGCTCTAAGGCTTCCTCTTCATCACTCGCTGTTTGAGGTTTGCTGGTATTAAAGCTCTTGGATAATCTCTAACTTCCCCGCCTTCAGCATCTGTAGTCATCTTGAATTCCACTCATGCTTGAGGATTGACGTTCAAATTTCTCGGTTTTAATTTCTTTTGATGCTTTTAAATAATGAAAATAAGTAGTTACTTAACATCTATTTCTTTTCAACGTTACCTGCTACATATTTTTCTTCTTAAACCCTGTTGGCATTAGTTAGCACACTTGACAAATATCAACTTGCTCATCAATGCACTAGCCAGAAACTTGACGCAATCCGAATTATAGTCAAATTGTTCCCCAAGAATAGACTTGAATCCCGTCCTCAAGCTTGTGAAGATCTAGTATGTCGAGGGTTTCCAGAGACCTTGTGATGGTGGGAAGGTCCGTCATGTTGACATAATTGGGAAGCACCACCATATTTTTTTCACAGTCACCTTCAAACCTCGTCAACATAAATAAATAGAGCGTAAGGTGAACCTAATAATTGCTTGGCATCTAGTCCACCAGAGTACTTTCTTTGCCAGAGCATCAACCCCTGTCTTTCTAGCGTTGACGGAGTTGTTATATTCATCCACAAAAAATTTCTCTCCAACATGAAGAGACTTCATCATATATGTTATCGTTTGTAAACCTATCGGAGATGCGTACACTCACGCGTTAAACTCTCCATTACAAAGATAAACAAATCAGAGAGCCTTGATGGGAACAAAGTGAATAAAGGCTAGAAGGGAATGTCCAATCACAAACAGGTAGAGTTATAATTAAACTGGCATAAAGAAAGTAAACCAATCAAGGAAGGTAAATCAAAGTGGAAATTCAAATGAGTCCAGAATGTAAATCAGAAGTCCAGTGGGCGCGTTCGCGCTCAACTCTAACGACGCGTAAATTCCAGAGCACTCGGACTAATGGTGCGAGTGATTTTGACGCGTCCTTGGGAGTCAAGTGAGCGAAAGCCAACCGATTGGTGTGAAAAGCCAGTCGCTGAACAGCGTGCAGATTTGGCATCAACGGATGGGTCACATCTCGATGAAGGCGGTGAAGAAGCTTAAAAAATCAGCAACGGGTGTACGCAATCACGTTGTATAATGACGACGACGACGTGCTGTGCAAGGGATGCATTGAGGGGAAGTTTACGCGCTCCTCTCACCTGGAGAGAGTTGAGAAGGACTACAAAGTCCTGGATCGCGTTCACGTGGATTTGGCGGGACCCATGAAGCGGAAAAGCTTGGGAGGGTCGCGTAACTTCATGGTGGTTGTGGACGCGTCGACGGGTTACTGCAACACGTACTTGCTCAAGGAAAAGAAGCAAGCGGTTCAGTACATCAAGCAGTAAAAAGAGAGAGGGCGAGGCACTCACAGGTCGACGGATTGACGCGTTGAGATACTCGGAAAGGAACCCAGAGGAGATGGAACGACTTCGAGAAAAGCCGCATCTCCTCGAGATCGTTGCAGATAACGGTGAGGAATTTAAGAACAAGCAGCTGGAGGAATTGGTGCCTGGGGGAAGGCATCAAGATCACGTTCACCATGCCCTACACGCCTCCGCAGAACGGTGTTGCGGAAAGAATGAATTGGTCGCTCATTGAGAAGGCAAAGTGCATGCTTAGCGACGCCAGTCTTGAGGACAAATTCTTGGGAGAGGCCCTTACGTGTGCCACGTACTTGTACAATCAATCTCCTCCTAAGGATGGGATTTAACCTCTGGATGGCTTCACGGGAAGGAAGCCTACCTTGAAACGCGTCCGAATCTTCGGTTGCGCATGTTACGTGCATGTCCCAAAGGAACGACGAAATTAGATGGGAAGAACGCGCGCAAATGCATTTTCTTGGGATATAAGGCGATGGGATATTGCATTTATGACCCACTCACAAAGAAAGTAGTGCGCCGCAAGACTGTTGTGTTTGACGGGTTGAACAATGGAGTGAGCAAAGGGCGAGGCGTAGATGTCTACCTGGAAGGTTCACAGGAAGCTGCTGGACAAGGTGGGCAGCGATTCAGGAAGTGATGATCAAGATTAGTCATTGAGCTCTGAGGATGATGGAGATGATGCATCACAGGTCAGTGAAGACAGCGAAGGGTTGGAGGATGATGTCAAGGACGCTCAGGAAGAGAACGACGCCTCATAAGCGTTTGAAGACGCGCCAACCTCGCCAAGAAGGACTCCTCAACGCGCTACACGCAGCGTTTCACGTCTCCTGGTACCAGCAACACCACCAGCAGAGGAAGGCACTCGTCATTATTCTCTGTGAACGGCCTCTTTTTTTTTTTGCACACTCTTCTCAACGTGTGTCCTTTTGTATATGTTGTGCGAATTACTCTCACCTCTCTATCTCTCACTCTTTAATTTTTTTATATTTTTGTGTCTGTCGTTTTTTCGTGGTAAGTTAACGAAAATCTTTTTGATCACTGTGTTTTATTTTGGTTTTGAGATTTCAAGTAAAGTATTTTGTTACCCCTTGTTGAGGGGGACCTTGTCTAAACAATTATTATATGTCGATAATTTCCGCGAACTCATAAAAAAACTTTATGTATATACTATGTAGAATTTCAGTTGGCTTACGAGGGCAGCCGTTTATTAGACTGTATGATTGCCTGGCCACACGTTATTGACACATGCCTATAATGTGAGTACCATATCCCTTCAAACACGTTTTATGGTGTTTTCCGACTTCACACAGAGAACTTAAACACATGCCATAGGGTATACATATTATGTCAAAGTATCAATTTATTCATTTAATTATTGGCCTAGGGCGTCACTGTACATGTTTGATACTGAGTATATGTGATAACGTTCATATTTAAAGGCAGTGATTGGAGCTGGGTGCCTGTATCCAGTAACTACAAGGGCTGTTTTTTTTTTTTTGTTTCTTTTTTTTTTTGGAGGAAGCAGCAACAGTGGGTGAGTAGGAGTAATTAAAGTAACAACTTCAGCAACAGTGGGTGAGTAGGAGTAATTAAAGTAACAACTTTGGCATGTAAAAGGCGTCCATCCTCATGCCAAATATCCACGTCCTGTAGTCATCACTCAAAGCCATCACACAAAACTTTCCGCGACAAGCGTTTCCACGAAGCATTTACAACAACGCACATGCAATCCTGATTCCAACCTTCGCAAGCGGTAAGGTTCTTTACTCCAAAAGTGATCTCATAGGAAGCAGCACTACATACCTGCGGTTTAGCAGGAGCACTTGAAGAACCTGGGTTCAGCATGTAGATACAGTCGTTGTTTAGAAACGAAGCTCATGGACAAAATGTTTAGTTCAATGCAAAAAGAGCCAACCAGATTGTGCAGCATTTCGGACCAATCAATTTCACGCATTTCGTCAATTTTACCAGTGTAGTACGTCTGATAGTGTACGCAACCAAAATTCATTTTGATATAACAATGATCGGGGAATTAGCTCAAATGGTAGAGCGCTCGCTTAGCATGCGAGAGGCACGGGGATCGATACCCCGATTCTCCACTTAGTTTTGCCTTTATAGCTCAGTTGGTTAGAGCGTCTGCCTAGTAAGCAGGAGGTCACCAGTTCAACTCTGGTTAAAGGCAGTTTCTACCTTCAATGGTAAGGGCCTGTGGCAAAATGGTTACCGCGCTTGACTACGAATCAAGAGATTCCAGGTTCGACCCCTGGCAGGCTCGATTTCTTCTATAGTAATGACAACGTGGCCGAGCGGTTAAGGCGTTTGACTAGAAATCAAATTCCTTCGGGAGCGCAGGTTCAAGTCCTGCCGTTGTCGCGTTTGGTTGGAGCTGTGGCGTAATGGTAGCGCATGTGATTCCAGTCCACAAGGTTGTCGGTTCAAATCCGGTCAGCTTCAATTCCAAATTTTCAGCATTGGTGGTTTAGTGGTAAAATTAACCGTTGCCATCGGTTAGCCCCGGGTTCGATTCCCGGCCAATGCATTAAATATCTTTTTGCTCTTTCCTGCTCTTTTCCTGTTCATAGTAATGATTCAAACCTCCTTACTTCTAAGATTCAACTTCTGCCGGAACTCCTCACGTGCCGCTAGGAGTCCATCCTTTTGCTTTGTAAATATACCCATCTTTCTTGCACCCTTGCTGCTGCCCTCTACCCATCCTTCTTGAACTCCCCAACTCCAACTCCTTTTGCTGTAGAGGTAACTCATATGGTGCCCAAACGTTTAGCGACGAGACATGGGGTCGTTTTAGCTTTGCTGGAGACCCAGAGAAGTCACTAGGGAGAAGATATTGGTATACAAGGGAGGATCTTGCCAAATAACATGAGCCGCTTGCAAGATCTCAGCAACGAATTCACATATTTTATCTTGGTACCTAAACAGGCCACCATCCACATTCAGACTCGAGTTCAAGAAGATTTTGGTGTGCTGTACGTCATCTTTGCTGTAAGAAGATATTATAGTCAAATGATATCTTGGGCACCTTTGGAAAGGCTTATGTATTCCGCCACTAGTGTTGACAAGGCCACAGTGGGTTGCAATTGACTTTTCCAAGAGACAGCGCTGCTGTAGATCATGGTGACGTATCCAGAGGTTGAACAGTACTTTTCAGAGCCATCCCAATCCTCATCAGTAAGTCCAACCAGAGGGGAGAGGGATGTGTAAAACTAGTCAATGTAAGTTTCTTGACACAGTGAGAGCGTGGTTTCACGTGAGACCCAAACACCGAGATAGTTTTGAAGCAGACCCAATATACCGCCACCATTAGTGACGACGGGCTTGTAGAAGCAAAATATGTACACGGGTTGGCAGGGCTGGGAAGGAGACCCTGTGAACAGAGTAAACTGTCCAACGTTTCGTAGTACTGTGAAGAATTACATTATGTGAGATTATTGGATAACCTCACCAAGAGGCATGAATGCGTCGCTTATATAGATGTCGTGCCCTTATTCTTATTTTGTTATTCCCGTTCCATTCTTTTCCCTCTCGGGGTTTTTCATAGTTTTTCCCCATAGATACGAGAGAGGTTTTTATAGAAGGAAGGGCGGTCGACGTGGTATGCCAACTTATGACATGCTACCACGTTGGTCGAGATGCCTGTTGTTGTTATTTGATTCCCCTTTATGTATTGTTTTATTATTTGTAGAAAGTTGAATAGATTTACGTACACCTCTTCAGTCCTGGATTAAGCCCTCTGCACATTCAGGCCAGCCCCTGGTGGGCTGTGCTATCATCTTTCCCATTTATATTCACTATCGTGTGTTGAGTTGTACTAGCGGGTGCTCTGGTTAGCACGCCGCCGAGGGAGACTGCGATCCGAACCAAGACATTGTCTAAGAAGGTATGAGCCATGGGAATACGCCTCAAGGGCATGATTCCTTCGAAGGTTTGGTCAGTATAACTACCTCTGTTCTATTCTCGATGGCTATGACAGGCTATCTAGTTGTTCAAATTCAATAAACAAGATGTATTAAAATCTCATACAAGGTCTTTTCCGCATCGTCCATCATCCCTCCCATCATCCTCACCTGTTCAAATTCAATAAACAAGATGAGGACGTCTCGTATCACCATCCCTCAATTTATCCCATGAATGTTCGTATCACCGCCCTTCTCAACCATGCACTCGCGCTTGGTGATTATGATCCCAAACACTAGTTGCCTGTGAGTGGGAGAGCGGCATGAGCAGGGCCCTAGGTAGATGAGATTGAGATAGAACATGTTAAAACGGCTTATTGCGGCGAATATGAGGCCTGGTACACTCCTTGGAGCGGGATGGAATCCCTTCTCGTAGACCCCTTTCCCCTAGTCACTTTAGATCTAGTCTCTAGGCATTTCCCTTCCTTTTTTCCCTTTATTATTAACGATTAGAACGAAAACCACAGCAACTTAAATCCCCGCTGTCACTAAAGGCAGAATAGGGCTTGACTCTTGATCTAGGAGTACTTCCTAGACTCTAGTCTCGTCATCTATTATGTGGTTCTCTACCTCTGTATGCCGGGGCTTAGCAGAGGGGGCCATAGAGAGAACTTCACAGATGGGGGCCCAACCAAATATGGTGGTTTCGGTTTCTTCTACTAATCATATTTTATTGATCTTTATATCATATGAAAGCTACGAGTCGGGGCGTCGTTTGCGCTATCGTCCCACGTCTCTACCGTATACCGTCGTCGAGAGATCGCGGTTTTGGTTTTGTGAGTTATACATTTGTTTGCAACCACCCCTTGTCAAAACTTGTGTAACGACACCCAGTGAAGGCCTCCTAGGAGGCATGAGGGATGTTGTTGCAAAAGCTAGACTCACTTTGATCCATTGACGACCCCTGCTGGCAGGGTAGTCGTAGGATCTTGTTGACATGCGAGGGTTTCGACCTAAGCACATTAAGGGCCTCTGTCATGGAGGCCTGGCATTGGGTAGTCTTTATGGCACCCCGCCACTTCTGTCAACACTGGACTACCATCCAGTAACCTAGAACGCTTTCAGCGTTTTTTATGGCTTTTAGGAGCCTTTTAGTGTATTAGATCTTGCTTTTAAGTGAGATCTATATGCTTATATCACTTCGACGCTTTTTCGATTGCGCGTTTCGCACTCATTTTTATTACTATAATTATGAAACTTTACAGGCATGTAGCGGGTAGTACTACGCAAACGGTGGTAAAATATGGTAACGTTTGCGCCCCTATTGGTCTTGTAATTGTTAAGGAGGCAGTCTTTATTTCCTGTTGTATGAGTCCTAGACTTTCACTTTTACCAAAAAAGGTTACACAAAATTGGTAATGTTAACAACAATCCCCAGGGTCCAGAGGTTATGATCTTTATGCCTGTGATCTTGACGACCGCTGCTCCCCAGCAGTAAAACCTTAGTGATTGCGATAGCTATCGTCCAGAAGAGCCGGAAAGTCTTTTGAAATAAGTTTTAAAACAGCGTTTCGACTTTTTATGAAGTAGAGAATTCTGTCAAATCTTCGAAATAGGATTTCGACTTCAATCCCTAAGTCATTTATACCAGATTCGACAAATAATTCAAAGATGTAGAAATACTTTGGAAAGTCTTGGGTTTCTTTTGATTAATTTATTATTGACGACGAACTTGCCGTTTTACTACTTCGTTAATTTTTATCGCGATTTTTACTTGAAAATTTCCATACACGTAGCCCTCAATGAGGGTATCATTTTTATATAGGTCTCGCTATATGGCGATGCACCGTTCGCGACTTATAACGTTTTGAAAAACGTCGGCATTGGACTTCAGCATTTTTTGCTTGACAAATCTGTTAATTTATTAACAATACAAATGTTTCGGGTCACCACATCCAATTTGTTGCTGCTATATAATAACACGGTTATACCTGCCAATAATTATGTATGCAATCTGTCTTACTTATGCGCAGAGCAACCCCTTGCTCAATGTTTAAACGGGGTCACTTTTGTGACTTTGAATATAACAAAGCAAATCATGACCTCATGGTATATGGCTTAAGGAAGGTGCCACTGTTGCCTTCTTTGAGAATGCCCACTAGCTAATGGTAGAATATAAAGCTTCTTATTGAAACTTTGACGATTATATAAACTTGATATTATCTTTTGTCACGGAAATGATAGCGCATCTGCATTTTTATTATAAATATGCTTTGATTATGGAGCTCCACTTGAACCGGGGCCGTTCAACAGAAGAATGCTTCCGTTGGTTAAGGAAACTGATTCCTCTAATGATTTTATTGTACTTACACTGCTGGTCAGTGTTGGTCAATGTTGCAATTATGGTTGACGTATTAACACCATATCAACAAAGCTTTATGTCATGTATCTTCCAATGCGTGAACGTCAACATATTATGGCTTCGCCATTTATCATTTTGTTGGAGACGCTTTGCGCGTACTTCCTCACCCTCCCACCCTTATGTGGATATGTGTGTGTTTGCTTTAAAGAGTGGGTGAACTGTTGGAGAGTCATATTCTCATTTGAGAATCTGAGTCAACTTATCGTTATCTGCGGATAATGTGTATAGACATAGTGATTGTGTTTCTCGTTAATGACGCCTTGATATTGGTTGTTAATAACATTAGTATATCTTACAAGATAGCAGAAGTGACCATAAACAAACTTGACTACCAACGTTGATGCTTAACGCGCAATGAGCAGAGATGTGGAGTAGAATAAGTTTGAATATGTATACACGTCAGTTAAACTTCTTGAAGTAGTTTAAAGATGATTTATCACAACAAATTCGTTCAAGTTTGAGAGTTTTCTTTCAAACGTAAAGTGCATTACGTTAAAATAGGATCTTAGGAGTGAGCCTATTTTGTTGTACTAAGTATAGTTGTTATATTTCGAGCAGGTTTTGATACTTTGCTGTATGGAAATGATAATAACGTGACTTATCATGATAATTACGTGAATTATCGCGTTATATATATCTTGTTTACTTACTTGATTAATGTAACAGTGGCTATGAGTAGCTCTGTTAATACAATAGTCCTAATACAGACTTAAGAAGAAGTTGCTGCGTTGTAACTTTAGCCCATACCACAACACTGGTTGTTAGAACGCGAGATTCCGACTGCTATAAGTAGAGATTACTGGCATAGCACTGCCAAGACAAATGTTAAAGAATTCTTTAAACAATTTGCTCATGTTGATAAACGTGGCATATTTAAACGCGAGAAAGTACAAACTCGCTGTACAGACGAAAGTGATAATGCTGGCTTCCACGAGTCGTCCAGCACAGCGTCAGAAGAAGTCATAGTTCCAGACCAAGAGGTAGAACTTGACAATAGAGTTAATGTGAATGATGACATTAACGGTGATAAGGACTCACAACATTTGAATCCAATAGAACTTGTCCCTCCACGTGAAGACACGGAAATAGCTAAGCATGATGATGTACCCTTAGCTTTAGAA